TGTAGAGAAATCCAACTGATTTTTGTATGTTGATCTTGTATCCTGCTACTTTGCTGAATTGGTCAACCATGTCCAATAGTTTTCTTGCTGAGTCTCTAGGTTTTTCTAAGTATACTATCATATCATCTGCATAGAGAGATAATTTTACCTCCTCTTTTCCAATTTGGATTCTTCTTATTTCCTTCTCTTGTCTTATTGCTACAAACGCATTGCCTTTTGACACACCTACCCTTATTACCCTAGTTATTGTGTCAGTCCATCTCATCCAGGGTCTTCCTCTTCTGTGCTGTCCCTCCACCCTTCCAAGCATGATACCCTTCTCCAAAGACTGGTTCCTCCTATCTTTATGCCCAAAGTATGTGAGACAAAGTCTCAGAATCCTTGCCTCCAAGGAACAGCTTGGTTTCATCCTCTCCAAGACAGAATTGTTAGTTCTTTTGGAAGTAAATGTTATGTTCTTTCTCCAGCATTACAAGACAAAGGCTCAGTTTTTCTGTCATCCTTGGTCGTTGACCAACTTTTTGGTGCATAACAAGTAATAGCGAAGACCATGTCCTGGATCAGGCTCACTTTAGTCTCTAGACTGACATCCTTGCTCTTCAGCACCCTGGAGAGCTCCCGAACAGCAGATTTTCCTAATGCAATTAATCTTTTGCTTTCCTGACTGCTTATGCCAAGAATGTTGATTGTGAAATCAAGCAAACTGAATTTATTAACAAGCTCAATCTCTTCTCTCTCTACCATGATGCTACTACCATTTGGCCTAGTGGTGAGAATCTTCTTTTTTTTTTATGTTGAGCTTCAATCCATATTTCAGATTACAGTCCTTGACCCTCTACAGCAAATGCTTCACGCCCTCCTCAGTTTCAGCAAATAAGGTTGTGTTATCTGCATAATGTAGGTTGCTGATAAGTCTTTGTTCAGTCCTAATGCCGCATTCTTCCTCATAAAGTCCAGCCTCTGGAATGATCTGTTCTTGTGTAGATTGATTAAAAAAGTATGGAGACAGAACACATTCCTGATACACCTCTTTTCTGATTTTGACAAATCGTCTGTTCTGACAACTGCCTCTTGGTCCAAGTACAGATTCCACAAGAGCATAATCAGATGTTCTGAGATTCAGACATTTTTCTCAAGGTTAGGCACAATTGGTTGTGATCCATGCAGTCAAACGCCTTAGCATACTCAATGAAAAACAAATAGACCTTCTTCTTGTACTCTCTGCTTTTGGCCAGGATCCATCTGACATTGACAATGATGTCCCTAGTGCCACAGCCCTTTCTAAATCCAGCTTGTATTTCTAGTAGTTTTCTGTCAATGTACAAGTTCCATTCGTTTTTGGATAACCTTCAGTAGGATTTAGCTTGCATATGATACTGACATTTGTTTTCTAATTTCCAAACTCTGCTGGATCACTTTTTTTTTTTTTTAATAGATTATCCTCCAGATTTCTTGGCACAACCTGGTGAGCACTTCTGGGCTGCATCTGTTTCTTGAACTATGTGGATTGATATTCCATCAGTTCCTGGGTCTTTGGTTTTTGCCATTTTCTCAGAGCAGCTCGATTTTCCTCCTTCACCACCATTGCCTCTTCATCATATATTATTTCATAAAATTCTTCTATGTCTTCTTTTTGCTACAGTGACTCTGTGTACTTCTATCTTCTTTTTGATGCTTCCTGGATCATTCAGTATCGATAGTATCCTTTAAAAAAATAGTGAGCAAGTTCAGCCTTTTTTATTTTCTGATTCTAGCTCTTTGCACTTTTCACTATGATCACTTTGCTTTGTCTTCCCAAGCTGCCCTTTGAAATCTTCAGTTCATCTCCTTAACACTTCTTCCTGTTGCTTTGGCTTCTTAGTGTTTTAGTGCAATATTCATACTCTCTTCTGACATCCATCTTGGTCTTTTCTTCCTTTTTGTCTTTGTAATGATCTTTTGCATTCTTCATAGATAATATTCTTAATATCCTCCCACAGCTTGTCTGGCCTTCGCTCAGCAAGGTAGGATTTGGAAGGGGAGGGGCAGAAGTGGATGTCAGCAGAGCAGGGCAGGGAGCAGAACCAAATCACAGGTGGTAAGGGATGGGGGACAGGGAACCAACACTTAATTGGTTACTTTTGTAATTGAAGTGTACTTCATATGCTCTCCTGGGTAAAATGTTTGTCTGTCAGATAATGCTCTAAGGTGAACTTCTAGAGAGAACAACAGCCCTTTGAAAACCAATAGAGCACACTTGAATTAGACACTTCAGGCTGGGCCTCTGGTTGACAGACACAAAGGAGGAGGAACACTTTCGAGCAGACACTTGTTAGTGGAATGTGAGAAGCATGAATGTAGGTAAATTGGTTATTCTTAAAAGAGAAATGGAATACATAAATATTGAAATACTAGGCATTGGTGAGATGAGAGGCATTGACATGGGACATTTTGAATCAGATATGATCTTCTATGCTGGAAATGAAAAGGGGAGGAAAAACAAGGTCATATTCCTAGTTAAAAAGACCATTTCCAGATCTGTCTTGAAATACAATGTTGTGACATGATAATATCCATACACATACAAGGAACACCTGTCAATACCACCACATTCAAAATACAAATTGTTATTAGATGCCATTGAGTCCCTTGTAAACCTCATTGCCTTTGATACACCTACCCTCCTTTCCCTAGTCACCGAGTCATTCCATCTCATCCAAGGTCTTCCTCTCTTGCACCCTTCCAACCTTGATGTACCTCTACTAGGACTTGTCTGTCCTTTGAACATGCCCTGAGTATATCAGATGGAGCTTCAAAATCCTTGCCTCCAAGGAACAGCCTGGTTTCACCCTCTCCAGGACAAACCTGTTCGTTCTCCTAACAGTCCCTGGTATATTCAGTACTCTTCTCCAGCACCACAGCTCAAAGACATCAATTCTTCAATCATCCATAGTCATTGTCTTATCTTTCTGATGCATAGCAAGTATTTGCAAAGATCATGGGCTGGATCAGGATCACCTTTTTTCCAGACTGACATCTTTGGCCCTTGACTACTCTGGAGAGGTTCCTGACAGCAGGTTTTCCCAGGGCAATTTGTCTTTTGATTTTCTGGTTTCTGGTACCAAGAGTGTTGATTGTGGAGCCAAGCAAACTAGAATTGTCGACAATTTCAATCTCTTTGACATCTGTCATGATGCTGCCAATAATAGACAGATTGAGGCTTTGTCTGACATACTTTGGACATGTTGCAAGGAGGCACCAGTTCTTGGAGAAGGACGTCATGTTTGGAAGAGTGGAGGGACAGTGCAGGAGGGCAAGACCCTCTATGAGGTGGATTGATTCAGTGACTGAAGTAATGGGTGTAAGTGTGTCAGAGACAGATTGGCACGGGACAGCAGGGTTTAGGGCTGTTGTACATAGGGTCGCTATGAATCGCAGAGGACTCAACAGCACATAATAACAATATGCATTGTTTATTTTTCCTTAATTTTTTTCTGTGTTTTTCCTTTATAGGGCAGGTAAAGAATGAAATTAAATTCCCAGACAAGGTCTCGGTGGCAAACCATTTACATCAGCCGCAGCTGGGCTCCCTTGGAAAATTAGAGTCTGATCAGTCAGATGATACTTCAGGTTGTACTGATATTCAAGAAGCTGCTTCTTCACCAGAATCAGATTCATTTAATAGGTAAGAGATGTGGTACTTATTGTGTTATATCTGTGTCTATTTCCTATGCATTGCAACACCAACTGGCAAAAATAACTAGAAAATAGTTTGGAAACACGGTAGAGTTCCCTGGTTCTCATTTCCTATTGTGTCACTTGCAGTGCTAACAAGGCAGGCTATGTTTTCAGTGACCACACGGGGGCTTTGTTTTCCAGTCTGTAGCAATTAGTTAGCTATTTTTCCTAGAGCTGGCATAGAAAACATGATTGCCATTGAAATATTTGTCAAGATCACAACTGAAGGAGATAAAGACAAGTTAACACTTGGGAAATAGAGAGGACCAGAAAGATAAGACACAGGAGAATAAAGAAAAAATTAACTGAGAATATATGGAGAATCTTTAAAAAGTTAGAGATTTTGGAATGAATAATGTTTCAAAATGATTTATTTTTATTAATTTTAATGAACTTTTACAGAGACTTTGGATTTTCATTCATTCATTGTTGAATTTTTCCCCCTGCCCACCCCTCCCCCCAAATTTGCGCTTCTCTTTGAAAAGTAAAAGAAAAATTCTTTCATTGTTATACAATCCCTGCCCCCCCCACCACACACACACACACACACAAGAACACTCCACTATGCAACCTTCATTCTGGACTCTTCCCGTGACCATAATACCCAAACATATATCACTTTTGAACAGTTCTCTCCCTCATCTGTTTCAATGCAGTATACATAATTTATCCCATCTTTCTCAGTCTCTCCCCAACCCTGATGTCAATCCCTTTCTACAAGAGTGGCACTATGCAGTATTTGTCCTTTTGTGACTGAGATATTTCACTCAGCATAATGTCCTCCAGCATCACCTATTTTGAATAATACATATTTCATGAGTTCCTTGTTTTTCAATGCAGCATATTATTCCATTTTGTGAATATACCAGAGCTTCTCTATCCATTCATTTGTTGATGGGCACTTAGGTTGTTTCCAACTCTTTGCTATTGTGAACAAAGCCACAATTAACATGGGTGTGCATATACCAAATGATTTTTAAAAATGCATTTTTTAAAAAGTTTTTGACAGACAGAATTTAATCAACCTTACTGTACCTGCCATTTTATGTTCTATTTCCCTTTATGTCACAAACATTAGTATGCTCCCACTTCATCTCTGTTTTATTTGATGGATGGTGTTCTTTCTGGTGTTTCTGTATCATGATTGATCAGACCCTTCACTTGTTAGTTATCTGCACTTTCCCTAGTGTTCTGCTTATATACCTAATATGGTGGTAAAATTCTTCCTGCGTAGAGCCTTTTACTTCTGTTGAATTATTTCCTTAGCATTAATGTTGGTTTGACCCTGGTAGATGATGTTATTTCTTTCTCCAGAAATTATACAAATCTTAATTATACTCAAATAGTCTATGAATGGGAATATGTTTTGGAAATAATTTAATCTTTGGTGATTATTAATTTAAGTATTGCTGATGTGACCTGTCATGATACATTATGTCTAATCTAAAAATAAAATTAAATTCCTTTTAATAAGAGGACTATATCTAGAGCTCTTCTGTTTTCCTAGATTCTTAGAAAATTGAACAGAATCAAGTGTTAGAAAGAGAAAGTCTTCCTACTCCCTCCACATTTTTAGAGTCATAAACATACTTTCGTTTGGCTCAGGGGAACACACATTTTCTCCCAGGTATGGTATAGTCATTACTCTTGTTGCCATCACGTTGATTCTGATTTATAGTGACCCTGTAGAATAGAGTAGAATCCTCTAGTATTGCGGCTTTGGTGGCCTAGTGGGTAGGGAACTGTGCTACCTAACAGTCTACCAGCAGCTTCTCAGAAAGATGGGCAGTCTCATTCCATGCGATTTACAGCCTCTGGATACCCTGTGGAGGTTCTGACTCCAGTGGTTATGAGTGAGTGTGTGCTAGGGTAAACAACGCTGCAGCCTTTGCAGAAACAGACTTCTGCATCTTTTTCTCACAGAGTGACTGGTAGATTCAAGCCACCCTTTTGCTTATTAGCTGAGAGCTTAGCTACTGTGCAACCAGGCCTAATTGTTTTAGAAATACCCTCCAAAATCCATATCTACTACGGTGAAGTTAATTCTGGCTCATATGTCCCTACAAGAAGAGCAGAACTTTCTCCCTAGGACTTCTAAAATGGTAAAATTTTAAAAAAAAATTTTTTTTTAAAAATTTTACTGTTTTTTGGAAGGTTTCATGCACATTGTGTTTCTTTACAATCATTCCTATATGTTGTGTCTCAATATTAATCCCCATTGATCTGTGCCCCCTATTACCCTATCTTTTCAGATCCCCACTGGATCCTTCTTAATCCCTTTGTCTCATACTTCTGCTCACCAAACTGTGCAAACCCATAATTTCTCCCTCTGCACCTTGAGCCCTCTGCCCCCTCCTCTTCCCTCTTTGGATATTCATATACATCTTATTAGTTATCCTTCTGTTTACAACAGTGATCTTACTCAGTATTTGTCTTTATGAGCCTGAGTTATTTCACTCAACATAATGCTCTCTAGCCTCTCTAATGTTAAATAGTATTTTTCAAAATTAATTCTCTTAAGTGCTGCATAGTATTTCATCATGTGAATGTACCACAGTTTCTCATTCCAGTTGTTTGTTGATGGGCATTTTGGATGTTTCCATGTACTTCTGTTGTTAATAATGTTGCTATGAACATCAGTGTACAAATCTCCCTTTGTGTCTCGGTTTTGTTTTCCTTGGCGTATATTTCTAGCAGTGGAATAGCTGAGTCATATGGAATCATTATGTTCTTCTTTTTTGAGGAAATGTGTTGCCTTCCACAGTGGTTGTGCCATTTTACAGTCCAATATTGTAAATCTCTATGGACACAGTTGTTTCTGTCTTTCTCCTGTGGAGTGGCTGGTGAATTTCACCTGCTGAGTGTTGTCACCTGCTCTGAGTTTAAGGTCCTGTATGAGACCTTTTTAGATGAAAATTTTGTTGTTGTTATGTGCCGTCAAGTTGCTTGCGACTCATAGCGACCCTATGTACAACAGCCCTAAACTCTGCTCTGTCCTGTGCCAATTGCACTGTCTCTGGCACTCCCATCCCGATTATCCCAGTCACTGAATCAATCCACCTCATAGAGGGTCTTCCCCTCCTGCGCCGTACCTCCACCCTCCCAAGCATGATGTCCTTCTCCAAGGACCGGTCTCTCCTCACAACATGTCCAAAGTATATTAGATGGAGCCTCAGAATCCTTGCCTCCGGGGAGCCACCCGGTTTAACCCTTTTCAGGACAAATCTGTTTGTTTTCCTAGCAGTCCATGGTATTCTCAATACTCTTCTCCAGCACCACAGCTCAAAGGCATCAATTCTCCTTCTATCCTCCCTGGTCATTGTCCAACTCTCTGATGCAATAACAAGTGATTGTGAAGACCATGGCCTGTATCAAACGCACCTTAGTCTCCAGAGAGACACCATTGCTCTTCAGTACTTTGGAGAAGTCCCTAACAGCAGATGTTGCCATGGCAATACGCCTTTTAATTTCCTGGCTACTGGTTCCAAGAGTGTTGACTGTGGAGCCAAGCAAACTGAAGCTGTGAACAATCTCAATCTCTTTACCATCCATCCTGATGCTGCCAATTGGTCCAATGGTGAGAATCTTTGTCTTCTTGACATTGAGCCTCAATCCATATTGGAGGCTGCAGTCCTTGACCCTCTGTAGCAGGTGCTTCAGGTCCTCTTCAGTTTCAGCAAGCAGGGTTGTGTCATATGCATAACTCAGATTGTTGATAAATCGTCCACCAACCTTGACCCCACATTTCTCCTCATAGAGCCCAGCCTCCCGGATAATCTGTTCTGCATATAGGTTGAAAAGGTATGGAGATAGGATGCATCCCTGGCGTATGCCCTTCCCAATGTTGAACCATGCAGTGTTCCCTTGCTCTGTTCTGATGACTGCCTCCTGGTCCAAGAATAGGTTTCGATCAAGTGTTCTGGGATTCCCATTCTTCTCAGAGTCAGCCACAGTTTGTTATGATCCACACAGTCAAATGCCTTTGCATAGTCAATGAAACACAGATAGACATTCCTCTGGTATTCTCTGCTTTCAGCTAAGATCCATCTAACATCAGCTACTTGAATTGATTCTGACTCCTAGTGAAATGATGAACAATAAATTGGAACCTAGTCTTTGTGCAGTTGTTACAACATCTACTCATTATTACAGTTATTGTGTCATTTCCTCTTGTTGAAAGTCTATCTTCATCTCTTTCCCTGACCGTCTGCCTTTCACAGCATGATGTCGTTTTTTCCTGACAACATGTTCATAGTACGTGTGACAAAGTTTTACCATCCTTGCAGTTAACATGCTAGTTAGATATCCTCCATGACAGATTTGGCCTTCTGGAAATTCATGTTACATTTAATACTTTTCACCACATTTGAAAGTCATAGATTCTCCTTCAGTCTTCCTTATTCATTACCCAACTTTCAGAAGTACAAGAAATTATTGAAAATATTATAGCTTAGATCTGACATGTGTCAGGAAGGCTAAGTCTTAATTCTACCAGCTTCTGTTCTTATCAATAATATCCATAGTACTAAACAAATAGATACATGCTCAGACATATTACTCGCCATGTTCCTGTTCCTGTTTCTGTGAATCATTGGGTGCAGTGTTCTTTGCAGCTTGACTCACAGACTACTCAGAGTTATAGGGTTTATTAGAGAAATAATGTGGGGAGAAGGGGATGCCAAGTCCACAGTGCAAGTTCAAGTTAGTCCAGCAGTCCCAAGCCTGACTAACAAGGCATAATTTCCTCAGTTAGTTAAAGTCCAGGTTTAGTTAAGCAGCACAGATATACCTCTGGTTTCTTAAGTTATCCAGCAAAGTTTATCTCAGAGCAGTTAGAAGTCAGCTCTTTTATTCATCCAGCATGTAAAACATTTAACTGTGGCTCTATCTCTAGGCTTTCTCTGGTTATACCTTGTCACAGTCTTCATAGCAGCGCTACAGTTTCTT